CGGCAGCGGTCGGCGAGCGCGGAGCGCGGCGCGGGCGCACCATGGCCGAGCTGCTGCGGAGCCTGCAGGATCCCCAGCTGGTCGCCCGCTTCCAGCGCCGCTGCGGGCTCTTCCCGGCGCCGGAAGAAGACCCCCGGGAGAACGGCGTGGGCCCCGCCGAGGGCGCAGCGCGGGACGCTGGGGCCGGGCATCTCCCCGCCGCCAGCGGCAAGTGCGCCCGGGAGCTGGCCAACGGGCTTCGGAGAGCGGCGATCCCGCAGGTAACCGCGGGCAGGTCCGGCCAGCGGGGGAGGGTCGGCCTGCGGACGTGCGGCTCCGGGTCCCTGCGCGTCCTGCCGGCGGGCCGCTGCGGGCATCAGGGGACTACCGTCCACTGCGGCCAGGTGGCGGCCAGGTCAGTTCCAGGAGTCTTGAAATGACACCTCTTGGGAGCCATTGTACCTTTAATAGAAGTAGTTAGATTTGGTGTGTCGTTTCCCAGATATGTAGCAATTATGTAATTGGAAAGAGAAGAAGGGGTGCGCCTAGGCTTCCCTGGGGAGGGATTTTGAGCACTCCACTGGGATCACCCCTTCGCTTCCTCCTCACCACCCGCTTTCCCTATCAGCTTGTTTGGGGATGATGGGAGCTCAGTGCGTCCTTGGCTTTCTGGTGCCCCCAGCTCTCGGGACAGAACTTGAAGTTAGATCTTTTCCAATCTCCGAGGGGTCACCCCGAGTGATGGTGTCCTCGCGGGACCTGCTTCTGCTCCTCTGCAGAGTCCCTGGCCTGCCTCTGCTGTCTGGCGGTCTCCCGCTCGCTGGCACCGTGACTTTGAGCAGATGCTGTCAGGAGGGGGGCGCCCTGGGCGGGAGCCGCTAAGCGAGGTTACACAACCCGCTGCGGCTCTGCGCGCCTGGTGCTGGCGACGCAGCGCGCAGGGCTCTGGGCCCGGACCAGGCTGCAGATGCCCGGGCGGAGGCTGCCCCAGAACGGGGGTGGGGGGGGTGCTGCCCCAGAACGGAGGGCTCCCTGCCTTCCCGCAGGGGAAGGTGGCACCTTTCCTGGGATAGGGGAAGCAAGTCCCCACAAATCAAACAAGAGAGATTCCAACTCTTAAAGCTACATTGTGCTCTTTCTAGAAAGGTTTGGTGATGAGGAACAAGCATTTATGTGACTCTATAGATTTCTAGATCTAATAACAGGCTTTAGATTTAGGAACCTAGCATTGTGAAGACTGAGTGTTGTATTATTGTTGTTGTTATGGGCCATCGAGTCGTTTGCGACTCATAGCGACCCTTTCTATCCTGTGCCAACCTCGCTGTCTGCTGGTGCAGTGGTTAAGGCGCCACATGTCCAACCAAGAGGTCAGAGGTTGGATCCCACCACATGCTCATCAGAAAACACGAGATATTCTGATTCTGTAAGTACTTACAGCCCTGGAAGGTCCAGGAGGCCGTTCTACTCAGTCCTATGGGGTCATTAGGAGTCATTAGGAGTGTGTGTGTGTGTGTGTGTGTGTGTGTTACAGGGAGTTTGAATTACAGAATTTGTTTAAGAGGGGATTGTCCCTCCTAAAGAAACCTGCTACTTTCACCTATCCCCCACCCCCATTTTTTAATTTTTCCTTCCTTGTTCCACATTGTGTTCTGGTAACCCTTGGGTGGGCTGTGAGACCACCCCTCTTCCTCTGGGGTGGAGGCTGAGATATGTGCAGTGACAGTTTCAGGGTGCACAGGTAGAAATGATGAACTAGCTCTCTCTCCACCTTCCACTCTGCCGCCCTCACTCAGGAAGAAGGAGACTGTCTGTACTGGTCTCCTTGGGCTGCTGTAGCAAAACCTCTCCTAGTAGGTGACTGTGAGAACCAAAATGCATTGTTCCTTCCAGAGGCTGGTGGCTGGAACTCAGGGTGTCTCCAAAGACTAGTGGGAAGTCATTTCTTGCCTCAGTTTCTGGAGGCACCAGGCTTTCCTTGGTGGGTACATGCATCTTTACAGCCAGCTTCCCTCTGCCTGGGCCTCTCCCCTCTTTCACTGCTCAGTAGGATTTTTAGACCCACCCTATCCTGTTGTGGCCTCATCTCAATGCTCCTGTTCCCTTTTCAGAAACCTTACCTCAAACAAGGTCATGCTCACAGATGAGGGCTAGCACTCTAGCACATCTTTTTGGGAGGCATCACTCAATCCAATGTAAAATGACTTTACGTTACTCCTGTTAATATGACTGTAGACTCTGGAAAGGCTCCCCTGTGATGCCCTTTAAAAGCAGGACAAGAAAGATAGGCTTTTGGTAGTTGAGGAGTGGGAGCCTTCAATGAGCCAAATTGTGGGTACGTCATACCCGACAGAGGTGAGCAAAGCTGATCACGATATTGCCTCAGAGATAGTATAGATAGAAACAAGGTTTTTGTCACAGCAATGTTGAAAGGAAAATCAATTTGCTCTCTAAACCTTCATTCAAATCACAATAAAAAGTTAATTGAAAAGTCCTGGATAGAAATGTGACATGTGAGGGGAGAAGAGTGAGAATATTTGGTAAATGTGAGGTGGATGAGTGTGTTTAAATGGGTGTGTAGTCGCTTAGGAAGATGAGCAGTTTTGCAAATACGCGTGGAGTTCAGGAAAAAGTGATGACACTTGTCCTCGCTTTGTGGGACTTAGGGACGAAGGAGAAATGGTTCTGCCCAGTCATACTTTCTCCTCCCCCAGCCCTCCGCCTCTCGTCATGTGACTAAGGAGCCCTGGTAGGTCAGTGGTTAAGCGTAACCAGAAAGTTGGCAGTTGGAATCCTCAGGAAGAAAGACCTAGTGCTGTACTCTCATGAAGATTATAGCCTAGGAAATTCCATGGCGTGGTTTTACTCTGTCCCGGGGCATCGAGACTTCAAGTTTGTCTTCAGGAGATTCCTTCACTGGTCTGTTTCTCATTGTTATGGTAGAAAATGTGAGATTTAAACACTCATGCAGTATTGGAGATTGTTATTGTTGTTACTTGCTGTCGAGTTGCCTGCAACTCATAGCAACCCTATGTACAACAGCCCTAAACCCTGCTCTATCCTGTACCAATCTTACCATCTCTGACACACCTACCTGATTACCCCAGTCACTGTCAGTTCATTTCATTGAGGGTCTTCCTCTCCTGCGCAGTCCTTCCACCCTCCCAAGCATGATGTCCCTCTCCAAGGACTGGTCCTGCCTTGCAACACGTCCAAAGTATGTCACACGAAGCTTCGGAATCCTTCCCTCCAAGGAGAATCTTGGTCCCACCCTCTCAAGGATGAACCTGTTTGTTCTAGCAGTCCATGGTATATTCAATACTCCCACACCACACCTCAAAGTCATCAATTCTCCTTCTGTCATGTCTAGTCACTGACCAGCTTTCTGATACATAGCAAGTAATTGCAAAGACTATGACCTGCTTGAACCAGGCCAATCTTTTATTATGCATGGGTCACCAACATCAGTTATTGACCAAACCGTTCTGACTCCAAGGAGACACAAAGATTGGGTTTATATACAGAGATTGGGCATGCGGGTCACACGAAGTTCATTGCAGTTGGCAGCTGAGATTCTTCACATTCAGGAGTTGTTACTGTTCCTGACTTCTCATGGATGTCCCGGTCCCAGGCAGGTGCAGGATGTGGTCAGGGCTTGGTAACCAAATTGGGGCAGCATGTACTAGGGAACATAAACCTTAGCAACACATATTATTGCCAAAATTATTAAGGCGTCCATTTCTTAAAATGGCTGTCAGAACAAAATGACTTCTCTAATGCTTGGCATATAAAATGGCTTTTCTAATGCTTAAATTGCTATTACAATTGCTGTCAAGTTGGAAGCAACTCATAGTTGACCCTCTAGCTGGTTTTCAGGGGTTGTAAATTATATGTGAAAAGATTGCCTAAAGACAGGCCGTTCAGATCCATTAGTGGGACAGCTGTTGGACTTGAACCGCCTGTCTTTAGGTTGATGGCACAGTTCCTTACTCATTAGGCTACCTGTTGTGTGTCATCGAGTTATAGCGACCCTGTGAACAACAGCACGGAACCTTGCCTTATCCTGAGCCTGCGTCACCATCTCGGACCCACATGACCCTGTTGCCACACTGACTGGGTCAGTCTGTCTCCTCCAGGGTCATCCTCTCTTGCACTGACCCTCCAACCTTCATAGCATGGTGTCCTTCTCCAAGGACTGGTCCCCCCGGACAACATGGCCAAAGTATGTGAGATGGAGCTTCAGAATCCTTGCCTCCAAGGAGCAGCCTGTGTGCTCGCTCTTTGTAGCTCTTCCCCCCGCCCCACCCCCAGCCCAGGCTTCTTCTTCACAAGCCTTTACCACATATTGTAAAACTGCATTTGTGAGGATATCTGATTGTTGACTGCCTCCTCCAGAAAACAGGAATCTGAAAGTGCAGGAACTGTCTGGTACTCATTACAGTTCAAGTTCAGACTGCCCGTTTCAGCTCTCCTGGCCAGGCAGATTACCTGGCTTCGACACAGGAGGAGCTGACTACAGCTTGTGACTAAATGGCTACAGGTTGAACTATAAGAAAAGCAATACCTTCTTTATTGAGTGTGAAAATGGAAAAGAAAATGATTTCTCCACTTTAGTGGCACCAGCACATTGAGTTAAGACCTTTCCAATGATGAGACATTGCGGAATTTTGAAGACCCTGGGTCTAATTTTTCTTGCCGCCTGCATTTTTTATATTTATTTTCATTCAGATCAAGTGCGGAAATGATTGAACAAGGGCTTCCTCTTCATATTCTCATAACGCTGCACACTGCTAGTTTAACGATTAACTACGCCTTTTCCACACTTGGGAAGGGCTGGGTTTGGACCCAGCTGCCTTTTCCACACTTGGGAAGGGCTGAGCCCAGCTGCCCCTGAATCTGCATGCTGGACTGGGAATCAGGATTGAATGGAGTTGTCTGGTAGACGTGGATTTCACAGGCGGAAAACAGTTTGTTGAGGACGTCCCGGATGTCCACACAGTCGGGATATCACCTAGTAGACTCCTGAGCCTAAACCTGATTCCCTGGAAAACTTCCTGAGCCGTGTCTTATCTGACTCACTGGGAGCTTGTGAGGCTTGGCAGCCCTTTGAGGCAGGGTTACTGGTTTCCAGGGGTAACCACGGGGTGACATTCTTGGGATGTGTTGCGCTGAGCAGTATCCATGGACAAAGGCCCCATCAAGATTATGTTGCTACTGTGAATAGAGCCATGCTTAGAGCCAAGGTATTTTGATTTCTGTCATCTTTGCAATTAGACTTCAATGC